CCGAGTTTGTTACTTATCCTAAGTCCTTGAATTGGCTGCACCTCTCGCATTCCTGTGTTAATACTCAAGCCCGAAGCACTTGAGTCATTATGTATCACAAGTTTGTATTCACGAGAGGTACATGGTTCGCAGACGACAGGATTTCAGTATACTACGGAACTACTTACTTCAGACTGAGTTGCATACTTGTCAATGACACGGGCCCGATAACGGTCAACTATCTTACTATACTGCATACCTCCGAGGACTAGCGGTAAGAGTCCTTCATTCTTCGCTGCGGTTTCCGAGCCATTCTTCGAGAGCCTCGCGTTCTTCGGCCGCGATGTCGACATCCGTGTCCCCTGCATTTCGGGTGTAAGTCCTAAATCCGGCGGAGGCGATAGCGGAATCTTACGGTCATAAAGGTCATCCCGCGTCCACGACTCGAGGATGTCGCGAGCAGTGTGCGCATCCGCGTGCGCGCTGGCGACCCCGTCTTTGATATCGCGCAGACGGCGGAACGTGCCGTGTGTCAGTTCGGAGGTTTTGGTCATATGGACCCCTACCTGCTCGACGAGCCTCGACATGGCCTCGTCTAGTTCCTCGAGCCGGCTCCGCACGAGCTGATACATTTTGGCGTTGGTGACATGGACCTGGCGAACGGAGCGAGCCGTGAAGTCGCCGACTCGCTTCAGATAGATCAGATCCTGCCGAATGTCGGAGCGTGCGCCTTCCGCAGATTCGTCGGAGTCAGAGGATGAATCCGACATGACCATCGATTCGTGGCAGTCGCTGTCGGAATCATAGGTGCCGGGTGGTGACGGTAGAAAAAGCGGGGCGGATGCCGGTCGATTGGCGGGCCTGTCACCGTTATTCGCGTGAGTATTGAGTGTATCAAGCATTCGGTACACGCACGGGAGCTGCTCGCCTGCGCCGGTGCGAGAAGACGACATAGCGATGTTCACCGGGCCTGGAACCCGGGCTTCGGCTTCGCGTTCGAGGGGGATGTAACGGTGGCCCTGTCTGTTGAGCTCCTCGAGCATGTAGGTCCAGAGACCGCCGGAGATGTAGACCTTCGGCGGCGTATCTTCACGATGCATAGCTGGAGCTCCCTCCGGCGGAAGCGGAGGCGATGGGAGGGGAGAGTGAGAAACGGTGATGAAATCGCGAGGGTGCACGGGTGGTCGGGTGGACGTGAGTTCGATTGTATAAGTACGAGAGCGGGCGGCGCCGTCGGGCGTCGGCGGTGCGGACAAAGATCGGAAGATAGTGGGGTCGGCATAAGCTAAGTCATGCATCATATGCGGGTAGCCGGGCGGCGATGCGGCGCGGATAGGAACTTTGATTCGGTCAGAGCTCTGCGGATCCTCGCCGCGAGGGACGAGATAGCCGCCGTTATGATACCATGGCAGCTTGTGCTCGAGGGCCTCTCGGAGAAACGAGGGCCACGAGTTCAGCGCCGGCGTCTGGGCTAGCTCGTTGATATGGAAGCCGACCGCATACGGCGTCGGTGGACGAGTCCCGTCGGGGAGCTGAAGTCGAGCTTCCTCGATGCGCAAGCGTTCTAATGGTGGCGTAAGTTTTCGACTCTGTCGCCGCGTATACAACGACGGGCGCTTACCGAGCTGATCCGCGATGTTGCGCATAGTGAGGGGCGCGTTCGGAAGTACAGGCGACTGAGGAAGGTAGTCTCGGTGCACAGGAGCGGCGACGAGTGTGTTCACGCGAGGGATACCGTCTGCGAGAGATACCGCGCTTCCTGGAGCCTCGGGTATGGTGATGACGAGCGGAGCTTCCTCTCTGATCGAGTAGGCATGCTCCTCCATCGTGGCGTCGACATCATCGACATTCGTCTGCTCGTTCTGACCGGGGAAATCCTGGAGCGAGAGTAGAAGCCCTGGAATGTCTGCGTGGTGAGGTGCAAGACCTGGCGGGACATCAGGCGTAGCGCGCCGCACAGCGGCGGCTGGGTCGTTGAGGGGGAAGTCGAAGTTGAACGTCAGCGGCAAGCCCTCCCCGAAGACGATCGGGCGCGGGGCGCGTCGTAGTTGTCGGACATGGTGAGCAAAGAGGTCGAATGGTTGTTGTAG